AGGCAGGTGGGTGCGTGGCAGACGGGCGCTGGGGCCTTGGGGAACACGATGGGGGGCACACTTCCGGATGGACCACTGGCGTGCAGCCTTTCCGGCTTGGCGTCATTCCTCTGTGCTTCGAGTTCCGCTGCGGGACACAGAGGCGGACGGGGCCCCTTGGGAAGGAGGGCAGAGAGGGCAGACACGGGTGGGGTGCCTGAGGATCCTGGGACCCGGAGGTCGGAAGTGGGGAGTATGGAGGACGGCTGTAATGGGAGAAGCACAGGGAGGAGTGGGTGCGAGGAAGTTTTGGCTGGGGCGTGCAGCCTGCGGGTTTTAAGGACCAGTCGCTCTTGTGTTCTTTAGACAAGGGGCCCAGGACCTCTGGGGCTTGGCATATGACTAGGCACAGAGTCTTGGCTGGGAATTACACCCAAGATCTTATTTCTTGAAACAAAAAGCACATAAAGATGTGTGTAGTGTCTGTCTGAGGCTCTCTGTACCTGGTTTTGTAACCCGAAGTAAGTGTCTGTGTGTCAAAATGACACAATTCTCCAGGCAAGAGCACTTCAGTCTTCCCGATGGTGTCAAGCGGCAGAGTTTTGGAGAGTCTGTGATCTTAAGAGAACATGATTCACAAGTGAGGACGCAAACAGCTGGGCCATAACTTTGGAAAAATGTTTGCTCTTAGCTCCTTCCTAACTATCTTAGTCCAGGCTTGTGAATTACTGAAACTTTACATCTTCCAGCTCTTTTTCTTTTCTTTTTCTTTTTCTTTTTTTTCTTTTTTTTTTTTTCCGAGACAGGTTTTCTCTGTGTAGCTTTGGAGCCTGTCCTGGAACTCACTCTGTAGATTAGGGTAGCCTCGAACTGACAAGTGTGAGTGCTGGGATTAAAGACGTGCACCACCACCACCACCCAGCCATCTCCCAGTTCTTAAAGACAGATAGAAATGATCTAGAGAGACACTGTCTTAGGATATGATGGGGACAATAATCTAGGCTCTGAATGGTTACAACTTTGCCATACTGGGCAACTCTGATGGGATAGAACTGGGCTCTGAGGAAGACAGTTTTATCCTGTAATATAGGAGCTCTGAACACAAGCCCACTCAGAGCTGTGAGTGCCTGTGTAAGTGCCCAGTGGTGAAACCCTGGAGTATAAGGGAGACATTGCCGGCTGGGGTTTGGCAAGGACTGTCTTGCAGGGACTGGTCTAGACTGACATTGGAATAGTTCTTGGGTCTGAAAGAAACAGTCCTGAGACTTGCCAAGAATAATCCTAGGCTGTAGAGGGGGAGCATGTTGTGTTTGGAATGGGGCAGGAAACAGCT